CATTATATATATATATATATATACGCAAAAACACACGCACACACATATACATAATCCTGTGTATCTATATACACACATGCATATATATATATCATATATCTCCTGTTATACACACACACATATATATATATATATAAATGTGTATATATTTGTATACAAATATATATATTTAGATATTTATTTATATATATATACATGTACATATATATAAATACTTACATACATACATACATAAATATATATTTATATATATGTATATATATTTATATAAGAATATATACGAGTATATATACATATATGTATATATAATATATATATAAATTCATTTATATATATATATATATACGCAATCGCACACGCACACACATTTATATAATCCTGTGTATCTATATACACACATGCATATATATATATATATACATATCACCTGTTATACACACCCACATATATATATATAAATGTGTATATATTTGTATACAAATATATATACATGTATATATATATATATATATATATAAATGCACACTCTCACACACACACACATAGAATTTTATATTATATGTTTATATGTATATATATATCTATGTATATATATATACATATATATATATATATATACATATGTATATATAGACATATTTATATATATATGTATATCTATATATAGACATATATAGATATAAATGTATATCTATATATATATTCTTCTATTATATCTATATTTATATGTTCATCTATATCAATCTTGCGTTAATTGGCATATATCTTACAATCATGTTCAGAGTAGAAGCTGGGGATATGTTGTGTATACAGGTGTATTGATCCTTACATCAATATATACGTGACATCGGTGCTTTTTCACTGATATTCTACTCACAGGAATGGTTAGAGAAGGACGCATACATCACCGGAAACGTATGGCAGGACGTGACAGTTGCCGAGTTCAAGTCTGCCCATATTTAATACAAGCGATTGCCTTGTCGGTAATAAATCGATACTTGAATAATCTTGTCCACTTCAGGGTTTGTATTTCTGTCGGGAGATTGAAGGACCCCCCCCTTCGATGGCGTAAATAAATGTACCAAACAAAAGTAGGTGGAAATTTGTGCAACCTCGGAGCGAGTATGTGCATGCATATGAGTATGCTCCTGGACACGTGAGGCGATTTTGATAGGGCTATACCTTTGTCAACTGGATATGGTTGTCTAAGATGGTCAATGATCGACTTGGCCCGGACTGGTCACGCTATACGCGCCGATGCCTGCGGTACACTCTCGGTGAGAGTTTCAGAACTCAGTATCAGGCCAAACTATCTCGTTTAATGTGAGTGACAATAAGGGCCAAATGAGGGACGGCGGACTAACCAACGAGTTTCTTGAATTGGTTTGATGACAACGCACGCCCCTTTGACTATAGAATCTAAGTGTTGACTCTATACGACGTGTACAGCTGATATCTCATGTTAGGGCCTCGCCACGCCGGATTATTTGGTGAGTGGGGGCGATCGGTAGTGGGAGTTATAATCCTATATGGATAGCCACCAAATCAATCGGAATCAGAGCCAAAGCAGTTCGCTGGAAATTCCAAATGGTGGGATCACTACCGGTATCTTGCATTGTATTTGTTCTGTTATTAAGTGTATACTCTGAGGTAGTTGTCGCTAGTGAGCGACTACCGGTGCACAGTACCGCGTTTTGAATAGGTTTATGTCCATTGAGCACTCCAGAATGGTAAGGTGTGTGCTGCCAATGCATTGCTGGTTAGTAACTAATTTTAATTGCGCAAGCATAAGTAGTAGTCCTTATACGAGTGTATTTTTTATCCGTACTATGCACCACCAGTCTTCAAAGCAATCATGCAAACAGTTTTGCTAGATCGGGGTCTCGCAATGGGAGGTAGTATCCAGCTCTATCTTGCTGAACCAACTCTTCGAACTTCACACTCACGTTTTCTCTTTCGCTGTGTGGTACAAGGTACTTCACATTCCGGGCATCATTGCAATCGAGAAAGTGTGTGGCGGTAAAGTTGTATATCATATTAACCGGTATGCGCAGAATCTCTAAACTAGGGAACAAGCAGTGGATTCTCTCAAGTAGTGACTCAGCGCTGTACATATCGAAGATAGGGTATTCCAGGGTAAACTCCCTCATTGAACTGTAGTACACTGTAGTGTCAAGGAAGGCCGGTACAAAGCCATCTATCCGGAAAGACTCGAGGTTGGGCATAGCAAGCAGGATAGCATCGCACATGTCCTCTAAGAAATCACGCCACTCTGGTGTGCAGACCTCGGTAACTCCCCTGAGATTCAGATTGAGTTTGCGTATGTTTTTGGCCCAAGTGACAGACACAAGGCTGATCACACCGGAACGTACTTTCTCATCCGTCAGATTCGCCCACTTCAGTGTGAGTGTAGTTAAGTTTGGCAACACACTGTCACCTATCCAGTGGTATCCAGTGGATGAGACTTCCTCGATTTTCTCAGCATGCACAGGCACATCATCCAGTTTGTTCATTCTCGTCAAGGCCGTGCAGTCATATAGATCAAGAGGCGACTTGAAGCCCACCTTTCTACCACCGCTCTGGATCACGGTCACCGATTTGCTTACAAACTTAGAACAATTCAATTTCGCGTAAGCGAATCGATCGAGACTGGTGAGACCTTGGACCACCTCAATGCAATCCACTTCGCCCACTTCCAATCTAATAAGATTAGAACTAGTCAATGGACTACTGACTTTTGCATTGTCCAGCAGGAGCACTTGCAGATTAGGACAATTAGCGAGGAGACTATTATCTACGACCGTGAGTGGTAGCTTGAGATACTTGAGGGTCAACGAGCGGACCGGGGGTGCTTCTATGTAATCGGAGAAGCCATGGCGCACCTCCAAGTGCGTTAAAGTGGACACATCAGCGGGTATCCATCGCGCCAAATACAAATGCGTGAGCGGTAGTGTGTATACCAGGTGGTCTACTTGCACTGGTGACAAAGAACTGTTTTCAAGGGCGTCCAGGTGCGTGACGTTCGGTACCGCTTTGGCAATCTGGTCCACCACCGCCAATTGTGCATTGCGACTATTGTCCTCTGGCACGAAATCCGGACTGTTTGCGTCCCACTTCTTCAGTAGCGGATAACGGGACAAGAATGCACACGTTTCTTGAATACTTTTCTTGTGGAGCTTACCTTTCGTCTCGTATACTTCTCCTGGCAGTGCTCTCATGGGCCAATTATAGTAAACGGACTTGCACACATACCGGGCTGTGCAGAACTCCTCAACAGAGAGATAGTCAAATATTTTGTGCACGACATCAGCAGGCAACAGCCATCCATCATCAAACGTGGGTCGAACACCTCTAGTAGAAGCGGGTGCATTTGTACTTGTTTTCGACTTAATCATCGACGGTATACGGGACTGCAGGCAGAGCAAGGTGTCTGGGTCAAGTGATTGCAAATATGCCACCGCCGAGTCGAGATCCGTCGGCGGCCCTCTTTGCTGACCTTTTCGTGTCATGTCGCTCGCAGTGATGATGTGCATAATGTCCAGCTACTATGGTGGACTGCAACTCTCCAATAGCAGTCTAATCAGTGCAACCAAGAGACGGTCACGAGCCCTAAAAGAACGACAAATCGAAGCATACAAGGTTGAGTACTTGTGTCATAAAATAAAACTATGCACAGGCATACGCATACGAATCCGAACCAAACTCATCCCTGAAATGGAAAGCTGGCTAGCATTATCCCTGTGCTGCACAGGTACAGACGAACATGTGATTGACGGGCACTGGCAACGAGAATCTTAATCATACAACACACTTGAGTGATACGCATACACAAGAAAAGCTTGCCTTCTTGCTGTCAAGACAAAAATAATCTATTATTATCGCCTCCTTGCCATGAACACTCGGTCTCAACATGCTTTCAGACATCAATTGGAAAGGCAGATGCTAAGCAGGGAACCTTACGTGCGCTTTATTTACCGAATAATAACAAAACAAAATAGCCATATGCGCGCTGTTAGTGAGCTAAAATAGAGATGAGAAATCATGATTACATATAGGGTTGTGTGAGCAATGGTACGAGAATTTCACATACCACACGTAATCTGAAGCTTACTATAAAAGACACATAGGAAATTTTAAAGTGGGACATACTGCAGTATAGTAGTCCTGAGAGTTTAACATACCTGCTTATTCAATTTGCGTAGATTCGGGAAGCCTAAATGCCTCGTCTATACTTAGCACTAATATCCGACAATGGTCCACCTCAATAGATACCAAAAATCCGGTTTCCTGTACTACAGCCAATACTCAAGTGTCCCTTATTTATGTGTACGTGAATCTCACGTGAATCTCGCGTGAATCTCGCGTGAATCTCGCGTGAGTGAATGACTAACTACCTTTAAAGTGTGTAGCACATATAAAGTATGGCTGCCGCGTGTTGTTGGGTGCAAAAAAATAACGTGTCTGGTGCCCTGACTGCCCTCTGAGGCTCTGACCTCTGAATCTCTATCTCTGGAGAGAAGATAGAATTAAAAAAACGGCTGATCGAACTACGTACGACAGTACGAAGGACAACAAACAGGTAAAATAAATAAATTTATCATTAAATTATCTAATCACCTATAACTGATCTGCAATTCTGCATAGCACAACGCAATCGGCAGAACTGAAATTAAAGTTGGAGTGCCAGAAATTCAGAATTGCTTACGCGCCAAAATTGCGGGGACGCACTGACGCGTGGATTTGTGCCAAATATCTTTTAGCCTCTATCACTCTGCATTTTTGTATTGTTTTTATCCTGAATTATCAGTCATACATATTTTAATATTTTTTTGACAAAAACAAACAAGTATAATACTTCTGAAATTTAGTCAGAAACCAAAAAGCATGTGATAAATTACAAAAACCTAGCTCTATGCATAGCCTCCTAAATTTAACCATGAAGCCAATCAACGCCTCTTAAATTAAGACAGCAAACTGATTAAATTCATAAATTGCTGAGCTGGCGAATACCAAGGCGATGATTTGATTGATTTCTCATTTCATTGATTTCATAGCCTCTATGCTTTTTTTGCATAGCCTCCGAAATGAAGCAATTTTTATAGTTTAAAAACACCACAACAACAAGATACCTATTTTTGAAGAAAAAAAATACACAAACGCGTATCCAACGAAAAGGTCTTCTACCTGTTGTGAATGGCTACTTCGGAAGTTCGGAATGCGTTGCAGGCACCTGTGAGTGTGAGGAGGCTGTGCCGGTGTTGCGTTGACTAGGATACGGTGCTGATTCATAGACTCATAGAGAACTTGCTTAATCGCTCACAGCCTCGCAGTCCAACCAAAAGGCTACATAAGGTTAACGAATAATGGCTGAAATTTGTCGTAGACTCATAAATAATCTCATACTCTAGGTATGACCATTTTTAATTTCACATTTTTATCCTCTGTTGTATCGATGATTCAAACTATAAATCTGCAAATCTGCAAATCTGCACAGGCAATCTCCGAACAAAAGTTGTACTCAGATCAAACGATGCAAATTCTTTCGGTTTGCGAACTTTGGCCTTTGTGTTCGTATTTATTTAGTAGCTGCCTTTGTTGCTGCAACACCCTTCCATATTCTTTCTATGCACACCGCTTTTATATATATATATGCTCGGATGTAGATATACATCAAGTTGTGGAATGTTCCTATATTTACGTCGGTTTTCGACATAGCTCAAAATATCACTAGCGGTATCGCGAAGTTGCGAAGTTGCGAACAAGCGCAAGCCGCAATGTAGTAATCATGCAATTGGACTCTTGTAGATATGTATATGTACATACGTGGCAACGGTTGACTCATGCTCGGTAGTCAACCATGTAAAGAGCTGAGTAAGGAATGTACATATTTGATAGAGCAAAACAAAAGCAAGACAT